CGATGAAATGAGAGCGCTACAAAAATGTTTTTCGACGAAACGAGAATTCACCGAATAAAACAAACATAAAAGAATTACTTGAAGCACTTGGTCAATGTGTTTGATCATTGCTTGCAGCTATTTGTTCAGCTTTCTTATTGAATGAAGCATATTTTTTTACGCGATTCTTCATTGCATTGACGAATAGCTTCAGCTTTTCCTTGTCGTCATTGTAATGCTACAGCTTCACGTTCTTCTTTAGTTACAAATTTGGCCTGAAGAAAAACGTCGATTAATGTATAAAAATAATTTCTAGTCATCGATGCATCATATTTAATAATTATCGACATAGACATTATTAAATACTGAACTAGAGATATGTGTTGCCTAGTGTTGTCACGATAAATAATGAGGAAGGTACCCGAATGTGCTCATTAGAGCCCAGTGATTCCGAAAAACTGGAACCGAAAAATTTTTACTAGTAACAGGAAGACTAATCAAGTATTACATAAGCTAAAGTCAGAGAAATCAATATACCATTGTAGCAACAATAAACTATGCGTATTTTTCACAATCGGATTGTGAAAGAAGTCAAAAATAGCTAGAAATATTATTAAGACCCCTGAAAAAATCTAGTATTGTCACAACATTACTTTTTCAGAAAATGTATGACTACCCATGTCCTCAAAATCGCCACACTTTGGACGATTAATAGTGATTCTCAGAGAAATCGCCGATTAAATCGGGTGATTAATCGGAGATTTTTGTCGAAATGGCACATAAATCGCGATTTATCAACCCGACTAATCGTGAGATTAAATCGCGATAAAATCGTCGATTTTCACTTAAATTTTCACATCGCTAATATCATGGGAAATCGCATGACATTGTTCATCTTTTCGTCTCACTATATCAGCAGCTCTATTTTTCTTCGTGGTGAACCTCTTTGGTTGTCTTATTCCCTCTTTTTCTATAGATTACATTTGTTACCTTTCGATTCGGTTCTTTCTTTGGAACAAGAAACATCAAGAAACGGAGTCGAGGAGGGCGTTGCAATGTCATTCTAATGTCATCTACCTTTTTCATGAAAGTCCTGTTGTTTTTTATGAATGTTGATTTTGCTGCCAAAAGTGCAAAAATATCGTCAGTTTTGACGATATATCGCGATATAATCTCACGATTAACCGGGCGATTATTCACGATAAAATCGTCGATTTTGTGGCGATTTTGAGGACATGGGTAAATAGTCCAATGTGTACTTTCATAATCATTATGACTTTAAATCAAGTCTCTGTTTAAAAAAACGAGCATTTTTCCATCAAAAACAATTTTTCGTCTGAAGAATCATTTTATTCAAACAAAAACCGTTACAGTAGTTGTTTGGTAACTCTTCTCCAGTGGTGTTCTATCGTAGTAAGAGACCAAACAAAATATTAGCTTTTTAAAGCTGATTCTTCCAAAAAGTGACCTTCATCAAAGAAAAAGCTTTTTTTTGAATAAAACTCTATCCGAATTTGACTTTTTCGTAAGATCTCTCAGTCTTACAGAGGATATTTTGACTTGACAAATGTCTCAAGACTAGATCAGCCGAGTCGACTGAATAACATCATTAGACATGCGATTGATGTCAAAAAATCTATTATCAATATAACTACTAAAATTGTTCCAGCTCTAACCAAGAACGAGATTTGAAGTTAAAGTTTCTTTCTTGTGTAACTACACACCCAAAGTTATTACGAAAGGTTGCAGCTCAGTATAATGATTTATTATTGAAAAGATTATACACATGAGGAATAATCATGATTTTCTAATGTTTTCTCTGTCTTACTTTATCTTTCGACATTGTTTTTCAAAAATAATACACATTAACAATCTCGGAAAAGAAATAGAAATATAATTTACAAATTTCTAGAAAAAATTATTGTCTCAGTTAAGTGGTATACTATTATTAGATCACCGTTTCCAAAGATATTTTTTAGGAACCGAACAGGCGGTTTCGATTCCGGGTATTTTTTTGAAACCGTTGGGCTTTAGTGGGTGTGAATGTAGGTGAAAAGAAGAGTTCAATACCTGTATCTACATCGATGCGTACACCCTATATTTCGACAATTTTACTTTCGATATTTCTTTAATTCGAGATTTACATTGCGGCTTTTCTACATTTCGACACTACTAGAGTAAATCTCTGTGACAATCGACTTTTTATTGAAAATTGAATATTTCTGTCGACAAATGACCATTTTTAGCTGCTGAAACTTTCAGGATATTCCCAAAGTCATTAGATAATATCTATGGGTTTAATTTCAGGTTGAAACTGCATTATTTGATTTTCCAGTAAATACCTAAAAACGAGTCGAAAATTTAATAAAATGGTCATAACTCGGCTTCTGAAAGTCGTGGGCACGAACCCTTTTAGAATTTTTCTAGTGTTATCGAGACTTGCTTGTGGGTTCAATATGAATTTAAATCAAATTCTATAATCATTTCAAAAACATATTCAAGAAATATACCTTTCTTTATTTGTATTTCTATGTCGTTTTTTAAATTATGATATGGTAATATACTTTCAGCGATCCTTTATTTGAAATAACAAGCAAAAAATATATATATTCATACAAGTTTTAATTTTATCTTATGGAATATCAAAAATATTAAGAAATTTCACTCGTATTATTTCAAATATTTCATTAATTCCTAATTCATAGGTCATATTATATAGATCACTTTATTTATTAACAAGTTAAACAATCGAAAGTTTTTTTTAATTCTCTAAACATATAACAGGCTTCATCATCATTTAATTTATGAACTTGACCTTGTAAAGCTGTGTCTAATATTTTATTTGAAGGATCTTTTTCAGGATTTTGTTCAATAAGATCATATAGTAAAAATGCTTGAGCAATCCATGAATGATTATCATTCCGTTTTCTTTTTGACTAACAGAACAATAAGAAAGAAAAAAAAAAGCAATAAAAAAAATAAACAAAAAACATAACCAAACGTTTTTTATTTAATCAGTACCTTTAAAAAAAGAGAAATTAAAATGGGTGTGGGTGTGGGTGTGGGTGTGGGTGTGGGTGTGGGTGTGGGTGTGGGTGTGGGTGTGGGTGTGGGTGTGGTGTATGGGTGTGTGTGAGAGTGTGGATGTGGGNGCGTTTCGTAACGTTCAACCAAGCATTGCTTTAAATATTGAACAACTCGAAAAGATTTAGTAAAGACTGATGCTAATATAATGTGTACGACAACTTTGTTTGCTTATTGGTGAACAAAAGAATCTCGCGTTATTTATAATTTGAATAATTATTGGCATGAATTCATATTTGGACTACTTTATAGTGACTGATGATACTATGTACAATACTACTAAATATGATTTTAGTTCACACTTTCTTAATGTAAGCGTGACTTTTTAATAAAAAAATATTCGATTTACAAAAGAAGATTCTTTGCATTTAGTGATGCTTTTGGATAAAAGGATGACGAATTTACATATACAAAAATCTATTAAGTAAAGAAAATAATTCAAAAGATTTATTTTTAAATTTCGTAAAATCTATATCTAAGAGATTCAACTTGTTTAAATATTAAATACAATTTAAATTAATGAAAATCGTTTCAATTGGGTATTTAAAGTTAAATTTAAAAGAGTTCAAATAAAAAATACACCAAGAGGAGATTAAACTCGTAGTTGGGTATAGGCACCAAGGAAATGATAATTTTTAATTTAGTGGAATGGGATACTGAAAATCTAATTTAGTAAGTTTACGCAAGACTCTGAAAGACTATAGAACAAGCACTTGTATGATTAGATTATTTTAGTTGAACGGTTTGTACACATGTCTTCTACTCTTATGTTCTCGTGTTCGAATCTATGTGTTGGCTTTATCGAAATTCATCTGTTATATCTCTAAAGATGTATGAAAAATGTAAGCGAGTACATTAAATTGTATCTGCAATTCAAAGTGCCTGAAGTACTTGACGGTTTTCATTTTTTTTCCATCTAGAATATAATACATCACAGTTAGAGAAACGCTACGAAACATTTTTCGAAAAACGATCGTTTCACAGCGTTCGTATTATCAGATGTGAAACGCGTTAAACCGGTCAGCATTAACGCGTTTCGCAGCTATGGAAAAACGCGTTTTGAGAACGCGTTTTTTTCGCAGAAATTTACGCCATAGGTGGGAGTTATTATGAATGAATTCTCCACACTCTACACCTACACCCACATCATAAAGGTACCTACAATAGCCCTTGTAAAGTTACCAAGTGCGGCCCCAGATGTGCCTTGAAAAGTCATTAAGGACATTCCCAGTGAGCCCTAAAATAGTTATCGAGAACAACCCTAGGTAGCTGCTGAAAAGTTGCAAACAGTACCTTCTGATAGCCGTGGAAAAGTTACTAGAAGTAGCTCTAAAAAGTCTTTGGAAAGTCAATAATGGTACTTCTAAGTAGAACTTGAAAAGTTGTCAAGAGTGTCTCCAAATAGCCCTTGAGAGTTCATCAAAAGTAACCTTGAGTAGTCCTTGCAAAGTTATCGAGACTAGTCTAAGCTAGCTCTTAAAAAGTTACAAAGAGTACCCTAAAATAGCTCTTGAAAGATTACCTAAAGCGTTTCTAGGTAGTCGTTGAAAACTTACCAATGACATCCCTATGTAATCTTTGAAAGGCTACCGAAAGTCCTTTTAGATAGCTCTTTAAAAGTGAAAGGTAGTGTGTCAAGATAGCAATCTAGAAATGACACTCAGTAATATGTATTAGCATTAAAAATAATGCTAAATTAATGCCACACCTATGCATTCATTAACACTAATGCTAATGCGACACCCCTATTTCAAAAGAAAACGATGAAATAAGCTTATAAATTTCAATGTTTATATGTTATTGTTCGTATTTTTCTCTATTTCAATCTCGTCATCAATAGATTTTACAAATCATTTTTTGAAAAAACAAAAAGAAAAATGGCATACATATCTTGGTCTTTTGATGTTCTTACTGTTATATTCATATTTGCATTCTTCATGGAATGTTCGACATTGCAAATTAATCAACGATTATTAAAGAATGAATTGAGGAGATCTTCGACTTCTGTAGGCTGCCCATCTCTTAATGTGTCTGAATTACGTTTGGTGACATTTGATTTATTTGGCGCATTGATGTCAACAAGATCTTCAATGAATCGTAATATAGCTTCTCTATTACCGTCATTATTGCCGTCTGATGTAGAGAAGTTTACAAACAAATGGCTTGAGGACTATAAGGACTATTTTGGAGTATCATTTCCAACATCTTTAACACATCGACCTTTCCTATGGGTTATTCGTTCATCATTATTGAAAATATTAGATTCATTTGGTTTATCAGAAATAATAACTGAAAATAGTCCTACTTTCAATGCTTTGATGTCCACCTGGGAATATCTAGAGCCATATCCTGGTACTGCACAAGTTTTAAAAAAATTGAGCAGAAAATATCATTTAGGATTGCTTTCCAATGGTGACAAAGAAACATTAAAGGCAGCTTTACGTGTGTTTCCATCTTCTGTGAAATTTTCAGTAATTTTATCATCAGATTATCCTGTTAATTGTTTTAAAAATTGTTCAGCAATGTATGCTCAAGCATTAGCTGCAGTCAATGGTAATAAGAACCAAGTTTTGCATGTCGCTGGCTCACCATATGATGCACAAGGTGCGCGCGCTTTTGGTATTTTCGCTGGTGCATTAGATAGATCAGCAATAAATACAAATCCAAAGTCATGTTTTGCTTTTGATGATATAAAAGAGCTACTTCCCTTCTTTCATCTCTAAAAAGAAATAATAAATTTTTTCTTTGCTCTTATCAGAGTGACATTCATTTTATTTCAAATACATAAACGAAACCTTGATATTTTGAAAAATAATCATTTTCTAACGGTCATTTCATAGATCTGAAGATAACATGTGTTGTGCAGTTCTGTTGGATGTTTGCATCATTAAAACCTGAAGCTGAATAACAAGTCTCGATTACGATAAAAGAAAATACATTTACTAAGAAATAACTGATTTTATCTACAAAGAGCTCTAAGCGTATTGCATAGCTTTGTTTGAAAGATCGTTTGCCTATGATGGCGATAGATACTAAACCATATATGTATAGGTGTGGGTGTGGGTGTTGGCATGGGTGTGGGTGTGTGGGTGTGGGGTGTGGGTGCGGGTACAAGTATTATGTAAACCCGCACCCACACCCACACCTGCACACCACACCCACACCCACACCCACACACAACCCTTCTAATACTAATGTTCTCCTTCAACTTAGCAAATCAGCACACAAACTATGCTCATTTATAAGAAAATGAAATGCAAAAAACAAACATAGACAGGGATTGAAAAAACCTTGCCAAGAAATCTTTCATAAATCATATGGTCCGAAGAACTTCTGTGCGGTAACACTACAGAGTTATCATAAAATACTGCATAAACACGAGGACTTTCGTATGTCCCATTGAGCCACACTAACCGGAACCTTGTCAACCACCACCACATCCGCCCTAACCTTCTCTACCGGAACCTTATCAACGAGAACCTGATCGGCCAGAACCACATCGTCAGAAACCTTGTCAAACGGCACATTGCATACCAGACTGTTCTTCACCATAACACTGTCTCCAAGAATTTCACTCTCCTGGCCTCTAAAAGCCTCCATCAATCTCTGCAACAACTCACGCTGACATTCATCCACCTTGATTCTTTCTTCACTTCCATATAATATGATACCATTTTCCACCTTCGTTACAGCAATGCTTTGCAATACTGCAACAAAGACAACCACAGGCAGCCATGTATAATTTCCGCTATTCAGGAAAAAGTTCAGAAGCTGCTCATATCTCACCCCTATGGCATCCACAAAATGATTTTTCTTCAAACAAGCGTTTACTTTCGACACCATAGAAGAAACTACTTTCTTCAAACCAGAATCAGCACATAAAGCCAACTTCATTAACATCGCCATGCTTTTTCTAAAAATTTTAACCTCCACGCCATCAAGAAAATTTATCAGATAATCAACGGACAAACAAGATCGTGCGACAGCCACCATAATCTCAAGCGAATGAAAGGCAGAGGTGACGACATCTTCATCTTCATCTTTCAGCGCATTTATGAGAGCATCAATCACCTCTCTTGTTGCTGCTTTTTCACCCATCTCACCAAGCACGTAACAAACACCTCTCCTCATCCCCAAAGATTCAACCTTCAGCGCATTTATGAGAGCATTAATCACCTCTCTTATTGCTTCTTTTTCACCCAAACCCTCAATCGCGCGAACCGCCAATCCAGCGACATCCATATCTCCGAGGTTCCACAGATTTATGAGAGCATCAATCACCTCTCCTGTGGCTGCTTTTTCACCCATATATCCAAGCGCGGAACAAGCAGCACATCTGCTCAACCATTCATCGTTCAGCGCAATTTTTAGGAGAGCATCAATCACCTCTCTTGTTGCTGCTTTTTCACCCATATTTCCAAGCGCTTCACACGCCTTCCATCCTACATTTTCATCCTCATTATTCAGTGCATTTATGAGAGCAATCAATCACCTCTGTTGTTATACCTTTTTCACCCATATTTCCGAGCGCTTCAGACGCCGCCCATCTTACAAATTTACTTTAATCCTTCAGCGCACCTATGAGAGCATGAATCAACTCGTTTCTTGCTGCTTTTTCACCCACCTTCCCAAGCGCTTCAGACGCCTTCCATCTTACATTTTCATCTTCATCCTTCAGTGCATTTATGAGAGCATCAATCACCTCTGTTGTTATCCCTTTTTCACCCATATTTCCGAGCGCTTCAGACGCCGTCCATCTTACAAATTTACTTTCATTCTTCAGCGCATTTAGAAGAGCATCAATCACCTCCGTTTTTACCGCTTTTTCACCCATATTTCCAAGCGCTTCAGACGTCTTCCCTCTTACAGTTTCATTTTCATCCTTCAGTGCATTTATGAGAGCATCAATCAGCTCTTTTGTTGCTGCTTTTTCACCCATCCTCCCAAGCGCTTCAGACGCCTTCCGGCTTACAGTTTCATTTTCATCCTTTAGCGCATTTAGAAGAGTATCAATCACCTCCGTTTTGACCGCTTTTTCACCCATATTTCCAAGCGCTTCAGACGCCTTCCGTCTTACAGTTTCATTTTCATCCTTCAGTGCATTTATGAGAGCATCAATCACCTCTCTTTTTGCTGCTTTTTCAACCATCTTCCCAAGCGCTGCACAGGCTTCCTCTTGGTTGTGTTTTTCATCGTTTTGGATTATGCTACTTAAGGTGCGTAGTAGATTTGGTGAGGGCTGAGTTATGGTTTCGAAATGAATGGATTCGAGAATTTTGTTTTTCTTGCTGACTTCTGTGACGTCGAGTGAATGAGCTAGTGTATTTTGAATGCGTGGCTGTATGAGCAATGATTGGTGTCTGTTTAGTAAATCCTGGTATGTTTTCGAAGAATATCTGGTGCGGCACATATGGAAAACTCGATCCACTTCGCTATTTGTTCGATATACTTTGTTCGTTGTAATGGGAACAATTCTTCGTTTATCCCGTCGAAACATTCAATTATCAATTCTATGTGTCTGCGTCCTACAAGATCTGTGGGTTGTTGCTCTATGATGGACCAGTAAAGGTCGTTGTATGATTGATGATCGTATTTGGCTAGTATTCCAGCTGCAAAAATGAAGACCATGAGAAACCGTCTATTATATTTATGATTATTGATAAATCGAATTGCGTCCCCATTATCAGAACTCTTCAGAACCTTCAATAGATGGCGTGCTGCAAAGTGCTCTTGAAAGCTGAGATGAACAAAGTAATATTGATTTTTCATTGGAAATTCACTGCCAATAGCTTTATCATCGTACGATTGGAGAACACCCATATTTAGTGTTTCTAAAAAGTCAACATTGGAACAATCATCGTGCCTTTGTATTTTGTGAAGAAGTGTGGGCGGTATAATGATATTACCGTTTTCCGCAGCATTGAAGGTCAATCGTTCGAAGAAAGATAACTGCTTGTTACATTCCCCATAGACCTTGTCTCTTGATTGTTTTGCTAGTTTAGGGTTTTTTCTTGCCAAGTATCGTCGACAGAGCCATAATGTTATGGAGTCATACAATGTGCTCATTGTCATTGGTTTTGTTTCCGACCAGTCTATATCACTCCAAAGACTACAAACGAGTTCTAAATTAACAGGGATATGTGCAATACTCCATATGATAGGATTTAACTTCAAGAATTCTTGAAGCTTTTGACCGCGAGGAAAAGCATCTGTCGATTCCTGTTTTATCTGATCGAAGAACTGCTGGATGTACTTGCTAATATTTTGTATCTGTGAATCCGGTGATTTCCATTTTTGTATCGTAGGGTAATTCAATTGCATACGGGCGTGATGTTAAAATATGATGTCGCGTTTGGCATATATGACCGAATGCATCTTGCAATTGTTCGGGAATATTTTGTGCAAATTCATCGTAACCATCTAAAATCCAAAGGACGAGTCCTTTATTGCACTATTCTTTGAAGTGTTGTCTCGACTCGTTGGATACATCATCAAACTGAAAATATAGTTCTTTCACTAGATCAATTGGTAAGTACTTTTTTCCTCATGGATAGCTGCTATCTGTCAGTAATCGTAACCGAATAAGAATAACTAGTTCATATTGAGACCAAATCTCACCTTTTGCCCATCGGTAAGTAACATATTGGCAAAAGGTTGATTTTCCAATTCCGGCTCGTCCAAGTACGAGAACTTTCTTCAGTTGATCCTTGCATTTTTTGAAAATATCCTCGACATCTCCACTGGTTTTAGCACCGTATATCTCTTCAAAAGTTCCCAGAATCTGATTGTTTTCATGTTTTAGCTTCTGCTCTCTTGCTTTCTGTTCTTTAGTTTCTACCAAAGACAAATTAATGTAACTTTGCTGGATTGGAAAACTTCTTTCTTGATTCACTATACGTTTGATTCGGTTTTCTTGTAGATATTTTTTCTAACCGATTCAAAAAGTTTCAGAGTTGTAAAACTTGCATCTTCTGAAAGAGCTGAAGGTTGATTTTTTATTTTACTAATAAGTTCATTGGTTTTTAATTCAATATTCGAGTCAGAATCATCTTTCATATTTATCCATTGGCGCCCTGCGACTGCAAGACCCAACCAACCACTGGGCTTCCATTTCGGATTCTTTTTATCACCTAGCATGCATGGAATGATTCGAAATTTTCCTGGTTGATTAGCATATAGTTTATCAAGATCAATAGCATATTGCAACTCAAGTTGACAGTTATATGAGCTCTGATAATCTGGCGTCAGAAAACAACACACGACTGCAGCTTTGTCTACTCCTTCGCTCATGCTAGCCAACATAATGTAATAAGTTAAATTTTTAGAGAAATAAAAGGTCTGTTGGCGCTCTTATCTCTTATTTACGTTATCTCCCATTCCTCCATTTATATCCATCCACGGTTTAATACCATGAGCATCAGGGGTGTGGGTGTGGGTGTGTTAGATACAATACACAACACCCACACCCCACACACCAATACCCACACCCACACCCACACCCACACCCACACCCACACCCACACCCCACACCCACACCCCACACCCACACCCCACACCCACACCCACCCCCCACACCCACACCTCACCCAGATGATTGAACTTCGACATTCGATCATAACTCCAGTGTTGAATTGTACATGGATCAACATGAGTTGGGTGAAGCGATAGTCGATCGCGTACCAAATGCAAGTAATGCCGGTATCATTGCTCGATTAGCAGCCAAAGCACTCATTATCGAATTGCAACATGCTAAAATTTCGGAAAAAATGTGATCAGTTCGTTACATACTCGATTTGAACATCTTTCACCATCGACAGCAATCAAGGATGAAAAACAAATGGCAAGAAAGCGAATCATCGAACTACCACTCAAACATCAAATCCTGAGTTCATACACAACATTTATTGGAGTGGAAAAACGGATCGATGCAAGCAATGCTGAAATGGTTCTACGCGAAGTACCTATTCAAATATAAGCTGATGATCAACATTTGCAAACGGGACATCAAATTAATGCTTGCTTTACTCGAAATATCAAGTCCGAACGAAAAAAGAAGGCTATAGTTCCACACAAAGATTGAATCAACTGCTCGATTGCAATCACCGTCACCGGATGCCAATGAATGAAACTGTCTCAGCCATTCGGTAAATCGCCACTATAAGCGCGTTGAGGAAATGCGCCTGTTATGATTGATCGATAAGGACGGTCACTGTCGCCGATTGACGACAAGAGGAGCCGAACAAGTTCATCTAGCTCTCCAAGTTCTCCAAGAGCACTTGGAAGCACTAGAGGATGTTTATTGGAAGCGCCGACGGGCAATACTAGCATGAAAAAGAAAGAAGAGACATGGCCGACAGACGATCAAGATATTGTTCGCTATCTGATCAACAAGCAAAAGTTTGATGGTATATGGATGTTGGATGGGGAGATTATTGAAAAATTGGCGGGCAGTCCTCTGACGAGTTTCTCATCACTAAACAACAATGTTCAAGTTCTCATTTCGGCTATTGTTATTGTTACACTGGAAACACGTTTCGGTTCGTATTCTACAATATGGTATTGCGTAGTGTAGAAAGCGCGTCAACGTCTCCTTGATTTACTGAATGACGACAAAAACCAATTTGACACTTTATTGGAGAGTATTCGTCAACAGATTTGAATTTCAATTATCATAGTTTTATGTGAACACTGTTATAACTAACGAACTCAAATATAAATCTAGAGCTGTATATTTGTTGAATTCGTCTATTTTTCTTATTCATTTGATTTGAATTAGTTCTTTTTCAACAAAACATAAAGGATTTTAATAGAATAAAGAGTAAATGAGGCATTTATCTTTTGATAGTCGAGCTTCTGCTTTGCCAAAGAACTATATTCTTTTATTTTGTGTTTACTTTTGCTTCCAATTGAGATGTGCTTGGCATAATATGGACGAAAACAATATTAAAATCTTTATACATTAATTACAAAACGAAAAGGAACATAACTGTTTGTACTACTTTTAGCCTAAATTATGCTACATATCAATAAAATTTCAATAGGTCGTCGCATCTTTGGAAAGTAATCATCACAACATATAGTGCTACTTCGCATAAACAGAATACTTTTTGTCCGATGTCAACTGGAAACCTATACGCCAATAATTGCATATGAAGTAATAACAGACAATTAAACTTATAACAGTAAATACATTAACAAAACGAATTTGCTGAAAAGTAGATTTTTCATGTGTCTCATACCTTAGTGAAGTTTTGAATAAAACTTTGAGTTTCGAAAATATTTGTGTAGAATTAAGCTTTTAATGCTTTCGTAATGAAAACGACTTGTGTCTTCTATGTAAAATAATAAAACATATTTGTCCACAAAAGTCTTGTATTCCTTCATATATATCTTTGAATTTCGAAAAGTTATTTTGCAAAAAGTTTATTATGTCGTTTCAAAAACAACATTTAACTATTCGGGAGTTGAAGCCATCGTCTAAAACGAAGGATTACTCACTCAGAAACCAAAAATACTTATTTGTTTCACTAAAGAAATCTATTAAAGAACACATATTTATTTCTCAGCTATTCCAAGTCACACTCAAGAAATTGATTGTGCATTTCGAATAAATGTTTTTTATTCTATACTATTTAATCCATATTCTAAAGGCATCGAATTATTCATCAATTGTTTTCAAGAAATGATACAGATACTAAAAAAAATGGCTTACATTACATTAACGAATCACTCATGATACGCATAGGTGACGCTCCAAATTTGTCAAATTGTTTAACAAAACGAATTAGACACGACTAGATTCGAAGATCTTTTGGACTGGTCTAGACGTCCCTAAAGGATATTTCTCTTAAATGTGACTAGTAGTCATTAACAGTACTCAAGGCGTATTATACTAGACCTACCGGGCATTGTAGATATTTCAGACTATTAGTCACATGGACCGTCTTCATTTATAGTTTAATGTTTCGACTAGCTAGAATCTGAGTAGAAGTCTTAGATTCATAGAATGCTTTGGAAGATTCTAGATAATTCTAGAATAATCTAAGTACTATTATTACTGAGGACAGTCGCAAAAACCTCAATTTAAACTTCCATTCATTATATTTTCTTTCAAAACTTTTCTGTTTTATTTTTGCATAAGTTTATTCAACTCGCATTGTTTGTTCTTCAATCATAGTGAACAATCAGACAGATCAAAGTTAGTTTGAAACATTTACAAATTCAGGTATAATTCTTTGTCGTTTTAGAAAAAAATGTGCAATTAATTTAACGAATCGTGGTATTATAAGTTTCAAAATTGTCACAATACCACCAACTAAACCAAACCCAATTGTTACAATATAAATTATATTATTTTTCGTTGTATAACTATAGGTACATCGTATTGGTTGACATTCATTGTAATAACTTTCATACATTGTAGATAAATTTCTTTGTTCTATCATTAATTCATTGACAAGTTCTTGTATTGTTGAATTTTTGAAAAATCGACTTGGTAAAGATGAATTCAATGCCGTTACATTCATAGATAAATTAGATATCAAATATGATTGTAATTGATTTATACATGTTTGATTATAAAAACATTCAAGAGTTGATTGTAATAATGATTCGATTATAAAACATCCTAAATAGAGACCTGGTATTGAGAATAATTTAGTTTTACCCATACTATCATATATGGCTGATTGTTCAACACATGTCATTGATACATCACATCGACAATTTGAGTATGATTGAGGATATGGTGCTAAAATTTCCATCTTAGGTAGTCTAGGAGAAAACGTTGAATATAAATCATAGTTTGTCCAACGTCCTGAAAAAAAAGCATTAGCTTGTGTTGTATTTCGTATAATTTGTAATGATAATAATAAATCATTGGTTGTCGAAGAAATAAATTGTTCAAATATTGATTGCAATTGTAAATGAAATACTTGTGATGATGTAACTACTGTACTAATATATCGATTTGAATAGAATCGAATTAAACTTTCTGATACTGTTCTATTTGTTAATTCACAAAATGTGCTTAATGCTTGAAATAAGAATTTACGTGATGCTCGAAAATCACGAAAATATAGTGTTATATTTGGAAGAGATGATGTAAGATATTCTCTCCAGCTATCTGTTATATAAATACTATTACATACTTGATGAAATGTATAATCAACATACAGAAATTTTTTATATTCAATAGATATTGTTGTACATGGACATGCTAAAGTTTGAGAATAAGTTAAATATAATTGTGAATATGTTTTGAATGAAGGTAGATTTATATTAACAGTTTTTGTAACTTTGACTAATGATGTATACATAATGAGAGTAGTTGTTGAGAGAAACAAAAGTAAAATAAATAATCTTGTTGATATTCGTTGATTTCGAAGATCAAATTCATTTGTTGAAGGTGGGATTGATGAAAATAAATTTAAATTTCGACAAAATTTAACTAATTTTTGACATAATCCAGCATTAGATTGATCAATGTTGGTTTCTGTAGTAAATGAATAAAAAGAAAAATTGTACAAAATGTCAGTGTCCTTTTCTTTCGTTTTTAATCATCAAAAAAAAGTTCCAATTGACTATGAATTGATTTGCACTTGGCTATCAATAGATTATATAAATGGCCTTTCGTTGAGTTAAGAATGAGAAGTTACGAACGTTTGAGTAATCCAAATCGATTGATCTTTCGGCAACTAGCCGATCTTGAGAGCCTCATATCTTAGAAAACAACAGTGAACATATCACCGAAATTTCAAAGCTAATGAAATACATAACGAGCTATAAGAACATGTAGTAACTATTATTTGGTGCATATTTGCCAATTCTTGTCAGATTAATTATTTTCATAGTAAAAAAAAATGACATATTTGGAATCAGCATCAACGACTGAATCGATCTACATATGTGTTTTAAATTGCTCAAACAACTTTCATTATTCAGCCAAAAATGAAGTCAATCATAACACCATTTTTAATGTGTTGGCATCTGTGCTCTATTATCATTTTAACAAATTGGAACTTGTTTTTTAACTATCCAAATAAGAGTTTGATTGACTTCATTTTTTGGCTGCACCCTAAAATGGAGAGTAGGGATAATACAGGTCAATAAGTAATCCGAGTGCCAAACGTATAACCAACATAGTTTAAAGAAGAGATTGTTTTTACCATTCATGATGATGAATTTTATGCCGAATTGAACTAGCACACGAGACAAAATTAGTGGAAGGGTAAACATATGTTCTCATGATAAAAACAAGTCACAGATGGATGGATATATGTGTATACATATTCATCATGCTCAGATGTGATATTGCTTTTATTTACTAGTGCTGATAGAGTTCTAAAATCATGAAGTAATCAACTATATAATAAATAATTTGATGCATTGGGTTTCTTGTTATATATTCATTTAACTATAAATCAAATATGACATAAACATTGGAAATGTTTTTCTCACTGGTAAAACTTATCAGATACCGAATACTACTCAGTAGATGTTGGACTTTTCGAACCATTAAGATAAGAATCACATATTTATATGTAATCTTCAATACTGAATACGCTAATTTTACATAATTCAAGATGTAACCCATATATTAATTACGAGGGAAGTATCTGTACTAAAAGCAAATTTAAACTTAGTGTTGTGTGATGGTCAACTTTTGACGACTTATTCAAACAACAATCGGATAGAAAATGAAGGAAAAATAATTTCGAAATTCTGTTTGCAAATGTTGTGCACATGTTTTGGCTATCATTTGACATCACTTCAATTTGTCTAATTTTTTTAATAACAGAGCCTTAGTAATTTGTCTGAAACTCATCAATAAGATATGAGTAAATGAGAACGCCGATCTAGCTCGACGTATCGAAGAGAAATTTTTACGAAGAACTATTCTGACAATAGACATGTTTATGCTTGAAAATTTCAACACAAATGGATCATGTTAACTTGAAAATCTATGCATGAATGGAGGACTACAGACATAAACTTCAGAATTGACTAGATGTTAACTGTTTTAAATTACCTTACCTTGTTTTATCATTGGTAATTTTTTATTCCTTCTTACAAGTTTAACTAATAATGGTACAATAAATTTCAGAATTGTTACTAAACCACCAGCTAGACCAAACAATGTAGTAATAATATAAATTAAATTATTTCTAGTTGTATAACTATATGTACATCGTATTGGTTGGCATGCATTATAATAACTTTCATATATCGTTGATAACTTCCATCGTTCAATCATTAATTTATTTACAATTTCTTGTATTGTTGAATTTTTAAAAAACCGACTTGGTAAAGATGAATTCAATGCTGTTACATTCATGAAAGGATAATGTGTTAAATATGTTTGTAATTGATTTATACATGTTTGATTATAAAAACATTCAAGAGTTGATTGTAATAATGATTCAATTGCAAAACATCCTAAATAGAGACCTGGTATTGAAAATAATAAAGTTCCATCAGAATATCTGTAAATAGATGACTGTCGAATACATTTAGCTGAATAATCACAACTACAACCAAAATAATCACGAACAATTAAAAGTAAATTGTTAAATTTTATTTGTTTATATAAACTATATTGTACACCTGCTATACTCCATAAACCATTAGCTTGATTTGTATTACGTATAATTTGTAAGGATAATAATAAATCTTTTGTTGTTGAAGAAATAAATTGTTCAAACATAGATTGTATTTGTGATTGAAATAATTGTTTAGATCGAATTTTATCACTAATATATTGAGTTGAATAAAATCGAGTTAAACTTTCAGATATTGCTTTATTTATTAATTTACAAAATGAATTAAGAGCTCGAAATATATTTGTACCAGTCCATCGAAAATCATCTATAGCAAGAATTTCATTTCCATAACGTCCATCAATATAATTTATCCAATCATCAGTAATATAAATACTATTACATATTTGATGAAATGTATATTTGACTTGAAGAAAATTTTTATAATTAATTGATATTATTCTACATGGACATGTTAAAGTTTTAAAATGTGTAGAATATAATTGTAAATAGCTTTTGAATGTAGGTGATTTTATGTTTACAATCTTTGTAATATTTATTAGAGAAATATATCCGAAGAGGATTATTGTTAAAAGAATGAAAAGAATAATAAATAATCTTGTTGATATTCGTTCATTCTGAAGATTAAATTCATTGGTAGAATGTGATACAGATTGAAACATGTTCAATGTCAATAATTTGTTTCTGAACTTGAAAAATAATGAAAGATTTTGTTGTTGAATATCGATTTCTTAAAAGAAAAGAATAATGAAACTCGAAGGTTTAGTTCCTTGAGAAAATTTTTCACAAGACATCAAACAACAAAGTTTCCTTATTGAAAGGAAGCAAGTGAAATCTACGTTGTCGAAAACAGAATATTAAGAGAGCTTTTGTTAGTAGCAGCCTACCTTATATCAGTTCATATCTTAATGATTTTAGCAAAACAGCAGAAATATTGTAAATAGTGTCTAAAATCACAGGTATGTGTTGTCGTTGAACACAGTTTTTTGTTGAATGGCACCCACATAAAAAAAGATACATATGAGTGTTTCATAACCTCTGAGAGTGACGAATAAAATGATTCTATTGGGCAATGAATTTATCTCAAACAGCATAGGAGTTATGACAGAAATACTTGAATTTTATCAAGAGCATTCGTCGTAGCTCTGATACATTCTGAACAAAATTCAATACGAGAAGAGCGACGAATAATGCAATATATATTTAAAAAAAGTATTAATGCCCATAACATAAAGCACAAGAGATGGAATTAACTTCTCGAATAACTCACATTAACAATTAATAAATCTTTCGAAAAAATCGAAATGGGTGACAATTGATGCATAGTATTCTCCGTTCTCAAAATAATGATAAAATCTAATTTTTATTCACCATAACTCTTATCAAATCAAAGACTTATCTTACCTATTTCTTGAGTTGGTAATCTTTTATTTCTTCTGACAAGTTTAATTAATAATGGTACAAAAAGTTTTAATATTGTTAGCATACCACCTACTAAACCGGATAATGTAGTAATAATACAAATTAGATTATTTCTCGTTGAATAACTATAGGTACATCGTATTGGTTGGCATGCATTATAATAACTTTCATATATCGTTGATAAATTCCATCGTTCAATCATTAATTCATTGACAAGTTCTTGTATTGTTGAATTTTTGAAAAACCGACTTGGTAAAGATGAATCCAATGCTGTTACATTCATGAAAAGATAATATGTTAAATATGATTGTAATTGATTTATACATGTTTGATTATAAAAACATTCAAGAGTTGATTGTAATAATGATTCAATTGCAAAACATCCTAAATAGAGACCTGGTATTGAAAATAACGTGGTTAAATTAGGATAAGTGTAAATAGCTGATTGTTGAATACATTTAGCTGAATAACCACAGTCACATCCGTCATATGCTAATGGTACTACACTTGCAAATGTAGATCCAGGTACAAAGTACAGTAAAATATTTGTTTGTTTTGCCGAGAGTAAAGCATTGGCTTGACTTGTATCTCGTATAATTTGTAATGATAATAAGAAATGATTTGTTATTGAAGATCTAAATTGTTTAACGATTGATTGTATATGTGATTCAAATAAGTGTGAAGGTTTCACCACGTTACTGATATATTGATTTGAATAGAATCGAATTAAACTTTCAGATATTGTTTTGTTTGTTAATTCGCAAAATGTACTTAGAGCTTGAAATATATTTGTACTTGCCCATCGAAAATTTGTGGGATCGTAGGGTTGATTGTCAAAAGATAACGCAGTGTTATTTATCCAATTATGGGTAACATAAATACTACTACATACTTGATGAAGTTTATATTTGACATGAAGAAATTTTTGATAATCGATAGATATTGTTGTGCATGGACATGCGAAAGTTTGAGAATAAGTTAAATATAATAGTGAATATTTTTTGAATGAAGGTAGATTTATATTAACAATTTCTGTAACTTTGACTAATGAAGTATACATAATGATAGTAGTTGTTGAGAGAAACAAAAGTAAAATAAATAATCTTGTTGATATTCGTTGATTTTCAAGATCAAATTCATTTGTTGAAGGTGGTATTGATGAAAATAAATTTAAATTTAGGCAAAAGTTCGCTGATTTTTGCCATGATCGACAAACACATGCAAATATATTAAGCACTGTAATGATATGAAGGAAAAAATGAAAGATAGATGTTATAAAAAGTAAAACTCGTTGTTGTGACTCGCTTGAAGGTATGAATGTTTTTTTTACGAATTCAACCAAGTACACTGATGCTCATAAACTCATCAAACATAATAACGACCATACCAGTATTCACCGTACATACATAGACCGCATCAACATTTATAGTACATCAGTACACCTTCATCTACATATATCTCACATATGATTTCCAGATCTGCTAGTCTGAAAAGTTGATTAATCGAAATCTAAGTAGCAAAAACATCTCATTGGCTAAAGTCTTTAGAAATATGAAGTTCTTTTCGCAATAGAAAATATTTGAATGTCAGTCAATGTTTAGGTAAAATTTATTCTTATTCTCGATATATTGATACAATTCTGGAGTCTTTAACTAACAGATAAACTTGCCTTTTATAATAATGGTCGGCTTTCATTTCAATTTTGCCAAAGTAAAGTGAAGTCTTATTTGTTGTGATTATTTGGTATTATTCTTATATCATCTTTCCACTCGTCTTTTTTTTTTAATGAGTTTTAGTTTAAAAAAGAATATTGATGTAATATTATGTCTATTTCTTTAAAACTAAAACACAAGCTCCATACGACGACTATGAATGACTTTTAAAAAAGTTTTCGATAAACTTAAATAAGAAACACACACGTATTCAACACATATGAGATGAAACTTATTATAAGCATTGAAAATGTTATAAAACTCATTATCAAAAACATCGAAAAGACTTACTTGATATGTCTTTTTATTCTCAGATATGTGTTGACTTGCTTGCTTGTTAGATGCTTGTTAAAGTAAGAAAAGAACACTCTATGTAAAATAGTCTCTATTCTTTTATTATTACACGATCCTTTAGATGAAAGCAGATTGTTAGCGTAACTCAACTATAGAAACAGAAGAGATGTTATATAACCCTTTGAGGCCCGTCTTTTTTTACAGAAAAAAAATTGGATTTTCACTTATAAAATCAATTATAGTTGACAACTATTAGTCATACTTTTTTTCTTCCGAACTTATTACAAAAGATATATGATGTTTTTTGTTTTGAAACAATAGAAACAAAACATACATCCAATTAGTATAAAAAACAACAATTCAATAATCTATGAGAAGGAAAGTCAATGTCAAAGAAACTAAAAATGTAATCAAGAATGAAATTTCTGGAAACAACCAAACAATACAAAGATTTACATTACAATCTTAATACATACCTCATGAAAGAGAAATTTTCTGATGAGTTTTTCTGTTTGTTATATGTGGCACAAAACATATAAGAGATCTAACAATAAGTCTAATCGTCTGATAAATCAATGTATGATGAACAATTGTAGATTTTTTAGTAATATACAATTCTAAGATTTCACAAATAAATTGTAAACGACCATCTAAAATAATTTTCTTAAAAACTCAAATAAAACTAATTTGTATTATTATCTGTATCAAGCATATGGATGTTAAAGTTATAAGTAATTATTGAAAATTTGAGAGTCATAAATAATTAATAAGATTATAACTTCTCTTTTATCATGCCATTTCAAGGCTAACATATTCTCCGTATTTTTACAAACGTGTTGACTTTCTCCTGTTTTTAGAACCGAATTCAAGTAAATTCAATTTTTCATCTGTTAGAATTTCACATACGCCAGTTGATCTTTCGAATAGTTTCTCAAAAAGAGTAACACTTGTAAATCAATTTTCTACAAATATATTGTGAGTTTTATCTAATTAATGTTGTCATAAAATCATAACAAGTGAACGAAGAATTTTTCATAACGGAAAATCCTCTGATATCAGTGTCTACTTATTTTAGACAGAATATATTATTTGAAACTAAAATGGTGTTTGCACTATATCAAACTTTCATTAATACATCAATTTTAATAGAAAACTAAAATTGTTATAATACTTCCAAATAGAAGTGTTCAGATCAATTTTTTGGTGATTAATAGTCTTTTATTTCACTTTTCTTTGTATGAGACATTAACATACAACACGTACCAAATTTCCAATATAGTAGTATCAATTGTTTTTGAACTTCATTTAGATAAATTTTTTTTATTGCATTAGATACAAATGATACTTATTTATCTCTTAAACAATTTGTTCCATCAAAATATTGTTAAAGATTAAACGAAAATAATTAAAGAAATTATTTTCATCAATTGTTCAACAAAATACGAACTAATATCAAAATCACTTGAGTCAAATATAAATTGTTTTGAGTTGAATAGCTCAGCTCTTCAATATTTTCTCTTCAAAGCACTCTTCTATTTCTTCTTTTTCCTCATTATCTAATTCATTATTCCACTAGTATAATAAATATTTGCATAAACTCATTAGAATCTTAAAATCGAGAGAATTACTAAAGAATTCCAGTCTCGGTTGCTTACGAGCAATTCTAATAGTTAGTAAAACCTTCTAATGAGTAGCAATGGCAAATTCAAAAAGGACATTCATCATTACTTTCGTTAATTAATAATTGATTGCAAAATAATTCAAAACTAAATAAGAATAAATAGAACCTTGAAGTATTTAAGATAAAACACCACTTGAAGTCATATTTAAAAAATAACATTCTAACTATATCTAAAAGTTCCTGTTAATATTATTTGAAAAAAGATCTTTTCTTTCAGCTAAGTGTTGAAGAAGAAACTCTGACACATAAAGGTGAAATATGACTCTAATTATTGTTAAGATCTCTTTCTTTAATTTTTCACTCTTACATTTTACTTCTCAGTAATTTTTAGGGTGTCCGTGTAGAATATGAATAAAAAACACTCACGTCTACTTTCTCTTAAGCTGAATTTATGATATTAACTGGATCTTCAAAACAGTCCAGTGGCATGAATTTGTCTCTCACTAGCATTCAACAATCATTGACAACTACACAGAGACGTCCATGACCTTTATCCAAAAGCTTACAAGCCTTTTTTAAGAATATATGTTGAAGTCAGGTACTTGGAATATCTTCTTCGAGTATTTTCATATAGGAATCGTTTTCTCCATTTTTTCTTTCAGCCATCAACTCACTTAATAGGCCTGATAAAATATTTGCACAATTTTTTTATTTTGCTTTCTTGTTTTATTCGAAAAATGATATCTTTCATTAACATAGTTATGAATCTGACTCAGTATGCTGTAGTTCTTCTCTTAGTTCTTGTCTCTCTTGTACACTCCAAGTACACAATGCTCGAAAAAACTCCCTTGCCCCATGGTTACCCCAACAGATCCATCCCCATCCACTTTTTTCTTCTAACATTGCTTTTCGTACGCGTGCTCGAAATATTTTTGCCTCGTCTTCCATTTGCTACAATGATACATATAGCAGTCGTACAATTTTATCCAAACTAAATGAGGCATTCGTCCTTGATTACATCCATCGGTGCTAGGACGACCTGACTTTAAGTGAAAATTGATCGATTGATCAGGATCAACAATGAAAAAGTTGAGAAATGTTTAACGACAACCATCATGTGGAGTTAAATTACGGATTTGACGAAAACGATATGGCATTGAATTCGAAAATACTATCGCTGGACCAGTACGAATTAAATCCACTTCAAAATCAGTTGTGACTCCACCATAAGAATCTTGAGGTGCTTTTTTCAGACGAAATTTAAGGATTCCTCCTTTCAATTCAGGATCGACATGGAAATAGTAGACACCAACTGCTACTATATTTTCTGTGTAACTTTCGGTATGCCAGCGACCCGAATATTTCATAACTGTTGGACGATAACAACAAACATATGTCACTTAGAAAACACTAATTTTTTGCTCTGTTTTCAATAAAGACATTCAGTTTTGAAAATGAACATTGACTCTTTCACCTTAGTTTCTGAGACACAAAAGAACATAAGTTAATTCTAAACTAATCATAACAGTGGCAAAAGTTTTCTTTTCTGTCATAATATTACTAGGAAAAAAGTTAGTTAAATTTTCGTCGAGAAGACATCATGTTGAGTCGGATTCAACTTTTTTCATCACAAAGCTATTGACTCTTATACAAAATTTACCATACTTGATTTCATATTATAACATTGTGCTTTGGCAATTACTTGCAAACGTTGCTCTTTGGTATTATCTTTTGTAACTAATTTTAATTTGTTCAAACATTGGTAACATGGCATGAAAGATTTTTGTAATGGCACCATAAGTATGATGATATTCGGGTATCATTGGTAAATGAAGAATCGGATTTCGAATGCCTACTTTACCATCGACCTGAATAACGAATTCAGATGGTAGCCATTGGTAGGTATGTTGCAGTTGTTCATGTTTCGATAAATGATTATATTCTTTATCGACTAAATCACGCTGAAAGTATCTCGACAGTCTTTTGCCAGATTTCAGCTGTTGTCGTCGATGTTCGATCCATTTCACTCTATTGAATGATGGAGGACGAACAGCAAACAGATTTGGATCAATAATATCTTCGACAGGTGATGGAAATGCATGATGATCATGTCATTGTTCAATAAGGCTTTGAAGAGTCTTCAGAAGATGTGTTCCAAACGTTTTCACTTACTGGCCGATGCTCTTGAATCCATATGGGATAAACAAGAAATGATTGACCACTATCACCATACTCTACAAATCGATCATCGATCAGTCGATTGAAATCTGGTGTTACAATAGGTGTTTGATCGACGTTTGCCACGTTGATGAGCCAGTTTTCATCCTATTCGAGCCATTTACATACCCAACAAGGTTGCATATGATCTGGTCGAAATCGATCGTACATATAGTCGGAACATTTCTCTACTTGTACCTCTCTCTCCTTTAACCACACTCGAATACGTTCATAGGGATGACTTTCAATTAGATATACTAGACATGGAAACTGTTCGATTGGATGCGTTCGACGCGATGAGAGTGTGGGTCTCAGGGTCTATTTATAACTCTTCTCTACAATAAAACCGTCATCCTTCATAAGAAGCCACCACGGAAAATGTTGACAATAATCAACCTCGACACATGCCGCAACAATATGAACTAATATGATCTTCTTCTCGTGAATTCTGTTAAATCGTAAAATTCCTCACATCTACTGTATATACTAGTCTTGTCAATGAATTTTTTCGTCCTTTTTAATCAAAAGACTATTTTGAAAATCACTGCTTTCCATTCATTATTGACTATGTTCATCATACAATAAAATAGAACCGGAAATCATCGTTAAGTCCAAAGAAGTGACTTTTTTCCTACATGCACATAATGAATCAACTGAAAGACCATAGCAACGACGGGTCATATCTATCACCACCACTTAAAAAAAAAGCAGATCTCAATCAATCAGACACACTATACAGAAACGACTCACTTTTAAAACAAAAAACAAATTCTTCACAACGAATTGCCAAACCATACAATCCAGCGCAATATACACGAACGATCACTACAAAATTGCAATATCAATCAAAAGTCAAACACCACAACTCAATCAACAGTAACGAACCAAACGCATCGCTCTGTTTTTGCATAAGATTTCTTTCTTGAGAAAAGAAATAAAATTTCGGGTCGTGAGTCATTGAAGAGTGTGTTTTATTTGAATGCAATTGAATCTATAAATAATGAAATTTTCAATAGAAGTTTTCTCGTTCCTAAAGCAATTAATATCAAATTAATGGGTGTGGGTGTGGGTGTTGGTGTTGGTGTGGGTGGGTGTGGGTGTGGGTGTGGGTGTGGGTGTGGGTGTGGGTGTGGGTGTGGGTGTGGGTGTGGGTGTGGGTGTGGGTGTGGATGTGGATGTGGATGTGGGTGGAGGTGGATGTCGGTGTGGGTGTGGGTGTGGATGTGGGTGTGGATGTGGGTGGAGGTGGATGTCGG